TAATTTACATACAGTTAATGTATTGCGTTTCCCTAAATCAAAAATGTTTTATAATTAGGTATCTCATTACAAGGAGTTTTTTTTAAAATCATTAATCGTGTAAATTGTAGTCTATTATTGTATTATTGTTTATCGAAACCAAGCTGTTTTCCACAGCAACTGTTGTAATGTAAACAAATGGTATGCTCCTATAGGTATCACAAACTATGAATATTATAAGAATCTTCGTATTCTATAAAACCAGTTTGTATGGTTTGATTTTTTTTTTTTATCGAAAAAGAGGTAATTTTCTTAACATATGTTGTTTTTCAGTTGTTTTTGTATTTAAATGTTTGACCTATTTTATTTCTTGCACGGTAGCATCTTGATGTTTCAATAATTATATATGTATTATTTTTAAAGATTGGAATATTCGAATAGTTGTATACGTTACGAATTAGATTGTAATTCCAATTTTATCTATGTACAATAATGTACAAAATCGAAATTATAATTATTTTTATATTATAAATGGGTGCTGTGATATTTTTGCGTTGTATTTTCAAGTTTTTTTTTGGTATTTTGACTGTTTTACTATGATACGTGGTTCTACAATGCAAGAAAATAAATAGTTCAAACATTTAAGTACACAAATAACATAACAAAATACTTTTAAAATTTATTGCTCGCGAAAAAAACTATAATATTTCTGTAACAGTTTTTTTTGTAATGTATAATATTAAAATGTAATAATGTATGATACCTACAGCTGTTGTTAGTCATTAAATTATATAACAGCGGTTTTTGTGAAAAACGACTCGTTTTTGATAAGATAGAAAATAAAATTATAGAAATAGTTGAAAATGTATTGTATATTATAATGTAAGAAAATAAATCTTTAACAATTTGTAAACATAAGGTTGCAATTAACTTTAAAACGCAAGTTTAATGCATATTATATTAATGATTAAACTTATAAGGGTGCTGCGTGTACTTGGGTTAAATAAGAAATTTTATTACTTCTTTAATTATTGTTTTTATGCAATGGGATCTCTTTTTTTCACCATTTCTTTAAGTTTTTAACACCTCCCCCCCTGCTTAGTTTTTTGATAGCAACTTTTAAAATATAAATGGTTTCGCATATAATTGATTAACTTTTTATTAATTGAGAATAATGTACTAAATATTTTGACTGGTCGATAACCAGTTTTGGATGACTATTTTTGAAGTTATTAAAGTCTCAAGTTCAGGGCAGGAGGAAAGGTGGAGTGTAGTATTATTTTGATCTATGCGCATTTCCCAAATCGCACTTCCCCTCCAATCCTTACTTTTAAACTTTTATGACTTTAAAAATAATTATCAAAAACTGGTTCATCGACCAGTCATAATTTTTAGTACATTATTCTCAATAAAAATGTTAATGAATTTTATGCGTCGTCATTTAAGTTTCAAAGAATTTTTTCTAGGGTTTATAATAAATAATAGTAATTATCCAAACCTGGTATTATCGGCTAGTCAAAATACTCAGCAAATATTCTAATAAAATTGCTATCTTCAATAAAAAAACAGTGTAACAGTCATGTACAATAAATACCATGGTGTATATAGCGCAAAAAAGTACAACTTGATAAAAAAAATCTTAAAAAAATTCACTAAAACAAAATCCATTTCAACAAATGATATGACAACGTTTTGAAACACTCTGAATATAAAATCATTAGCAATGATGTGCTTTAGGATAGTTATAATTATAAAATCATTAAAATAATTAGGAAAGGTCGAGTGTAGTGTTTACATTTTTTATCTGCGCGCACTTTCCTTTCCATCCTACCTTTTGAACTCTTATAACATTAATAATAGTTTTAAAAACTGGTTATCAACCATTTAACATTTTTAATGGACATTTTTTTATACCAATAATTAGTACTCAATTTGTATAAATTTGTACGACAATTTTCAAAATTTGTGCAACTTTAGTTTACAAGGAAAAACGAAAAAACTGTGGGGGGGCTAGAGAAATGTTTCTCAGCCCCCCCTCAGTACAAATAACGAGATAATTACATTTTTTTTTATGCCAAAAATTAGTACTCAATTTGTATAAATTTGTATGACCATTTTAAACATTTGTACTTATCTCCTACCACGAGACAAAAACCATATACTGATTTCTCATTTCCCTAGCCCCCCCCCCCCCGGGACTGTGAAAATGGTTATTTTTCCAATTTTCTTGTTCAAATATTTAGTACTCAATTCGTATAAATTTTTACGACAATTTTATACAAATTGAGTACTAATTATTGGTATAAAAAAAATGTCCATTATCGATATGGGGGGGGGGGCTGGTGAAATATACGTTTACTTTACGCTATAGTATTGTTTACAAAATGGCAAAAGCGTTTTACAGCAAACTTTAACTAAAATTCTTAAAAACATACTGTTGTATGATAAAATTTTATTTTCATTATTAGCATGTTATTCTTCGAGAATGCACTATGGTTGGGCCTATCCGGATATTCGTATACCCGAATTATCCGGATAATTTGGATACGGATATCCGAAATCCGGATAGTTTCGGATATTCATTTCATTTTTATAAGACAAATATACCATAATAATATACAGTGTTTTTAAATATACCGAATAATAAAATAATGACACCTAATTAAATTTCACTATCACATGAATTATTTTTAGATATATCCGTGTTAGTGGTTGTTAACCGACTATTCGGACTTTTTGCAGAGTCCATCCTCAGGGTTGTCACGACTGTTCCGCTGCCGGTTAATAACCACTGACACGGATATATCTAAAAATCATCTATGTGGTATTTCAATAGGGTCTATTTTTAATTGCAATTACTTAAACATAATATTTATGTACACATTTATTGTTATTATTATTAATATTATTTTTTATAACTTTAAGAAACAGTTCGTTATTTCTTGTTTTTTCCATTTTAAAACATTATTCTACTATTAGTTCTAGTTAAATTTTCTGTATTGTACAAAAACCAACGATACGTTTTGTATCATAAAAATACAGTTGTTATTATTTTACTATTTTTTTTTATGATGAACAAGCTGTTGTTTTTTGGCTATGTCTTGTTGTATTATTTGTTTACTGTACTATGTTTTTGAACGTTTGAATTTGCTTGCATGATAGCACCATATTTTTACAACTATATAACGAAACAATTTTGTATAAATACTACCAAAAAAAAATGTTTTTTTCCCCTACGTCATAGGTAGTAACAAATTAGTCTTATCTAATAAACAAACTTTTATTATTGTATCCATATTTTCCGATCTCTTATTATATAAATTGAATTCCTCTCTATTCTTTAATTTGTCACAGTTAAGAACATAGTATTTTTGTACTTATTCTATACATTCAGAATTATGTAAATGTAATATTATAAGTAATAATTATAAATATTTACATTTGGATAATTTAATAAAATAACATTGTACAAAATATGAATAATATGTAAAAAATAAAAGATACATCACCACGTTTAAGTCAGTAGGGTTTAAGTCACTTTTTAGGTTTTTCAATTTTGACTAGATTTTTTTTTCACACTTGTTATAGATATATGTTAGACCTAGCTTCAGATTAATTTCCAGCTCTTAATTTTCCATATATATACCCTACATTTTTCACTACTAATTATTTGTAAATTATTTTTCAAGTATCTATTCAAAAATAGTATTTATGAACTACTAAATTTTGGAATTCCATTACTTTCTGCATGCTAATGTCATATAAATCAAAATAAATAACTGCTATATTAGCCTTAATATTCTGACTGGTTGCAAGTAGGTCAATATATTTTATTTAAACTAATGTTATTCAATCACAATGCATTTTTCTTTAGTATGTTTGATAATTATATTAAAAAAATGTATTACCATACATTTGTTTTATTTATATTAGTTATATATGCAAATTATTATTCGTAAACTGTACTATTCAATTAAATTTAATTAATCTTTTTATATTTGAACTAAGTAAAACAAAACACAAATAAATGTATAAAAAATGAACATAACATTACTAGTCTTTTATGTAAGCATTAGTCATCATAACATAATTTACAATGTATTTGTGCACTTACATGCAGTGAAGGGTTAAATTGTAAAAAAAAAACTATTTAAAAAAAATATGTAGCTAATATTTAATTTTAAATTTAAAACTTCATTTACATCATGCCTTTAACGTAATATGTATAATATACACGATTATTATATACCAGAATTCTTGTCTTCACAACAAGCTTAGCTAACGGATACTTTCGTTAAAAATATGGTTTATATTATACATTAGATTTTAATATTATTTTATTTTAATTTTTATAAAATGAAAAAAAAAATCCATGTAAACCTATGTTTATTACTCGAGATTTTATACTTAAATTACTTTGAATACATTAGTATTAACATGCAATTGATAAATGGTATGGAGTAGAATTCTATTTAATAATATATATATTGTGTGTGACATAATCAATCTTAACTGAAGTTCTCATAGACATTAAAACAATAATCTAATAACTTGTATAATATTCTAAAAATTGTATTCAGAAACTTTTTATATTGTATGAGGCCCAGGAGCGACGCTATGATCTTGTATGGTCATACCGGCTGCAACTAGCATAAGCTCTGCAACCTGAAAATCATCATTTATTAATAATATACATAGGTGATGATTTAGTAAGAAAAATACGTTCATTTTTTCTTAAGAAAGTGACAATTTTGTATGTTTTAATTTTAATGAAAACATGAAATCTATGTAATTGTAAGTACAATAAGACATACTAGAACGTCCCGAGGTGTATCCAGCACATACAACACTGCCTTAGCAACGGTTTCGGCTTTTAAAAAAAAATGTTGTGGATAAAAATCTTTTAAATGCGATTCCGCATTAAGTAAGTCAGTGTCGACCAGACCCGGGCAGATACACTGAAACATATTATACAACAGCGTGTAAGCCAATGTGAAAGGTGTTGGTCATTGGCAACAATGTTATTTTACCGAAACTTTGATTTTAGAATCGTACAGTTGTAATTCATGTCTCAAGCCATCAGCCAGCACTCTTACAGCCACTTTGGACGCGTTATACATTTTATGGCCCATCGCAGTTACCATTGAATATGCGGCGATACTAAGTATTTGCAGGTACACAAAAATATCACACAGCAAAGCTGTTTCAATCTATCAAAAATATGTACTCAGTAATTATTACCTGCTCATGTGAATAATGTGACCGTTCAAAGACATATGTCTGTTCATGGATGAGATCGCTGCTTTCGTGCACACTGTCAGGGCAAGGACATTAAGCTCCCAAACTTTTCTCCAGGCTGCCGACTCACCTCCTAAAAGTGAAAACAAAAATAATGTTTATTTACCATTTAGGTTTCAAAAGTTGCTAATAATTCTTAAATTAAATGAATTTTATCTCAAAAAATAAGAAGTTTTGACTCCGGTATAATTAAAGCCGGATTATTAAAAACTTGATTTTTTAGATTAATGAAATGGTTTTTTTTCTAGGCTTTTTACCTGTAAGTACCCTTCACAATTAACTATTAATTTACCTATAAGTGTAGCCCGTTCTATGACGCCTGCGTTATTGATCATTATACTAACACCTCCCAATTTGGCGTCTATCCATCTGAATATCTCCAATAACTTTTTTTCATCCGTTATGTCACATTGTACTGGATAAAATTTACCAAAATTGTCGCTGTTTTCAATCGGTAACGCCCTTGTTATAGACTGAAAATTGTACACACACTGTAATATTACAGTTCAGCATTTTTTTGACCGAATAAGATTTTGTGTTGCATTATTTAACATAATTTGAAGAATATAATAATTCTAGAGGACAGTTTATTATGGCTTAAACGGCCATAACAAACACAACATACTTGTCATCGTTTCTACTTAAAAGTACTAATGTAGAACTTTCTATTACTTAGCTATATCCAACTTATACAACTCATATTATGCATATTACCTGTTCATACCCTCCTCGCCTAGCTACACCCACTACATCTATACCGGCTTGGAGCAATGCAATAGTCGTAGCAAAACCTATTCCCATGCTAGCTCCGGTTACCATAGCCACTTTGCCTCTGTAACGTTCTAATTCGGGAGGCTAAAAAAAAAAAGATGTATGTTCTAAATATTTATTATTACATTATATCTGTAATAATTTTTTTTTTTTTTTGATATCCTTATTTGTTTTTTTAATAACACTACTGCTATAAATTCACCAAAAAACGGCCGAATCGAGTCGACATTTGAATGGAACATATTATTATATTAAAGACAATTTGTTTAAAGGCAACTTGGATTATAAACCCTAAACATGTTGTACACTTGTCATTTTACGTATGACTTTTATGTAAGCAAATAAAATTAAAAAAAAATAAAGGTTGACCGTTTTTAAAGAAATATTTATTAAATATTTTGGTTCGAAAATAGTACATAAATTAGACATACCTACTTTGACGTTAAGTAACAAGCTGTTCGTTAATATAGATTTTTTTTTTTTCATTAAAAAATGATGTTAAATATTAACGAAAAGATAATAGACATTGCTTTTAAATTACAATATAACACTGTTTTCGATTAGAAAAGTTATAATTTAAAAGAAAACTTCGGATGGAATATAAAATTTAAACGGCATTGTTTCTTGTCAATTCCTACCTCACAAGGAAGTAAGGAATTTTTGTATTAAGATATAATTTTAGCACTTAAGAGCTATAAGATATTTTTTTTTTTAAACAACGATAAAATAGAAATAAAAAGGGAATTTTTAGGTTAATTTAAAAAAACCAACTAGAAGTTAAATATATTATTGTGGAAAATGCATAATAAATATTAGTTAAATACATTGAATTGAAAAATAAAGTAAAGTATTGAAATAAAATATATTTATCTTAGTGCTACAATTAAAAATTTGGGCAGCGCTTATATTATATTATAGCCAATTAAATATCGATAAAAATACTACAAATTACATTTAGATAGTAAACATTTGCAAAAAAATAAAAGTTGTCAGATTAGGTTAAATTTTTAATAGGACTGTTACTTTATACTTTTTTCTCCCCATTCATTTTTAAATCGTATTGAAAAATAGCTACTCTAGGAAACGTTAAAAATGAATATATTAAATCACTTATCCCGTTCTATTTAGCTCAGAAATACACCATCTGGTATTAAATAAAGGAAGTGATGTTAATACATACCTTTGAGTTTATTTCAAGAGCCAGCTGAAAAATAAATAATGTAAATTCGTTCATTAATACAATTAGTTACACCATAGTTATTAGAAATATTATATAATACATACTAAGAATAAGACGATTACTACGGCCTTGAAGAACATTGTTTAGCTATGGACGTTCTGGAACAATATTAATGACAAGTACGATGTATAAAGTATAAAGTTAGACTAAAAAAATTGTATTTGAAATTTGGTTTTATATAGTATAGCAATGACTGACAACCGTTCTTGTAAATAATACATAAAAACAAATTTCGAGCACAACAAAAATCTGATTAAAATGACATACTTTGATGACATACTTTCATGTTTTTTAGACGAAAAATATTTATTTAAGACGAAAACAAGTTGTTTTCAAAAACAAAATATAGGTCATATTGTACATCATCTAACTGTGTTTTTAATAATGTAGTAATTAGTCAAAGGACTTTGTTAAAAAAACAAAAATGGTCACTTTTAACCAAAGAAATTAATAACCATACAAAATTATAAGTCAAGTTAGGGACCTCATCACTTATAAATAGAGTTATACCTAATTAATGTAAAATTTAAAATTGTTAAAACGACCAACATAAGATAAGACCTAATTTAAAATCTGAAAATTAGTCCATTATCATACTGTTAAATATTAATTAAACACTAATAACGATTTGTATTAAGCTGTAATACTTTTCCAACACCATTTATCCTTAATAGATGTTTGTAAGGTATTCCAAAACGAATTAAGTTATAATCTTTCGATTAAGACACATGTTTATTAATAATAATTTTGTAATGGTATATTATTTTAAGAAATATTTTTACAAAAACACAACTTACTACTTAAGTATCATTGACCATTTTTTTGGAATTAAACCTTTCAATTACATATTCAGTTAATAAAATAAAAAATAAGAACTTTTATTTTGGACTTATACATGCTAATTAGCGAGCAGGTGCTACTACTAATTTTTTATGTAAAGCGACCAGTACAGTAAGGTCGGGGCATATTTGTGCCGGGGAAGTCACAGGGCTTACAGGAATTATTACAGCTGAAAGTGATAATATTAATTTTTGTTGTAGTGCGTTAAATCATTTGATTATCCATAAAAGACAATACATTAAATATTTTTAATAAATTTTGTGTACAATATACAACCAATGTGTTACACGTTACAATGTACCATGCTGTTTATACTATTTTCGATTTTATTATCAAAACCGTATATTATAGCCGGTATTATTATACATTTTTATCAGTTTACAATATGAAGTATATTAAACAGACATGGACGAGTAAGTTTGAATTCAAACTTTAACCATTCGCCGTTAAAAAGATATTGTTTTTTTTGTTTTTTCTGCTGTTGTTGTCGTTGTAGTTGTTCTACTTTGTACAAATGTTTCGAATACCAAAATAGTTCACTGAAAAACAACTTATTTTTTTTGTTCCATATACTACTATTTGTTTTTATCACATTATGCATATTATTGTTGTTTTCAAGTAAATGTATTTTTTGTCCCTTAAAAATATTTTTTTCGTTAGAATAAAATATATAAAAATAATTTGACATGTAGTAGATTTACACTATACCTTAGTTACATCTACTTTGACTAATTTGAATTCTATGGCTAAAAAACAAATAAAGACAATTTTTCCGCCACTTTTAGGAAAGAATATTAATTAATTCCACTATTTTTCAAAACAAATATGCATAATTTAAAATGCAATTCAATGTAGTATATATCAGTACTTAGGTATTATCAAAATTAAATTTATAAAATATATAAGCTATATGTTTTCATATAGTCTGTGGCCTATAGTACCCGACTCTACTTAATATAGTAATAATTTATAATGAGCATTCCGAGTCAAACGCGGTCATCGGCCCGACCTCCACAAAAATGTTTGAAATTTCACTCATATTTACTCCTAAAATAGTGGTTTTTCACAAAAAATCGATTTCTACCAGTTTTAAAATTCTGAAATTTTTATCATAAAATCAGAGACTGAAGTCAAATATTTTCATCTAATGACGGTAATGGGCCGAGATTTATGTCTATTTTTTTATGTAATGAACATTTTTTTTTTCAAATATATTAAACCATTCTATAAGATATTATTATACAAAACCGTACCTAATACTATATCAACGTATTATCCCTTTTTATAAGTAGGTAATATCTATAGGCACATACTAACTATATTATAGTCAATATATTTTTGAGTAAATTGTTCTTGATTTAAAATTTTACAGAAACCTGTTGACTGTTGATTCAACAGTCAACCTCAAGTCCTAAAAGTTTACTAGAAAAAGAGAAATAACGATAAAGTTTACACCGTTCTTGGGAAAAGTGTTATTGGTTTTCAAATTAAATAGACAGTACTTTATCTGAAGAATATTCCTTTTTATGAACTCTTTAATTTTTAAATTTCATTACTTCCTGCACGCTTATGCATTTAAATCAAAATAAATAATTGCTTTATTAGTCTTAATATTTTGACTGGTTGCATACAGGCCAATATATTTTATTTTATTTAAAGTTATTCAGTCACAATGCAATTTTTTTTAGTATGTTACAAAATTATACTAAAAAAATGTATTAGTATACATTTGTTTTATTTAAATTAGTTATTTATGAAAATTATTATTTGAGAATTGTACTATTACCCTTATGGGCCTTATCAATAACCAATAAGCTTACGAAGACATTCGCTGTATTATATTATTTATATTATACTTTACATTGTAGTGTTATTATATTTTTTAAATCGATAAAATGAAAATAAATAAATTTATGTAAACTTATCTATCTTTTATTCTGTCTACTAATATTTATTATAAGTATTAATTATTTGACCATTAGAAGACTTTAAATAATATTTTTTGGTATCTATTAGGGTGGCTACGATTAGGGTTGGTCGTCGATGTTTCCTAATAATTCGTTGCCGTGTTTACCAACAGTAAACCAACAGACACTATGTCTATAATATACAATATACATTCTTAAATGTATTACTATTATTATTATTTTATATTATATTCCATGTACCCACTCCTGCTAAGTATAATATGTAGGGATAATGTAAAACCAAAAATAGGGGCAGCTGTATCTCTAAAATCTAAAACCTTTAAAGAATTATGGCCCATTTTAAAATGTGACCTTTTTTCGCATATGCAAATACTACCAACAAAAACAAGTCAATAAAATAATGACACAGATTTTATATAGTTTTTCGGCAACACTATGTGGCCGACGGGTTTTATCGAATGCGAATTGTATTGCTATTTTTTTTTCTTAAAACGAACAAAATCCGTTTGATCCTTTGACATAGATAATACATTTTGCGACAGAGCCTGAAAATCTCAAAACAACCGTTTTGTGAACTATTTGTCGCATTGCTAATATGACCTACTAGCAAAATCATAAAACACCTGTGATCACATCTCTTAGTTTTTCATCAGCGCCTATCAACTATATTTTCTACAAACGACCAAAAGCTACCATTACAACACTACATTTTTTACATACCATTTTTCAATGTATCTTCCACAATATTCACCCTACCCTTTACTCTGGACAAGACACTCGTTTTTGCTTAAGATAATTTCCGTTTTGTAATTTTAGCTGATTGTGAGACGCTATTGATTTTACTATGATGTGTGTGCTTCTTTCTGTCTGTGTACACTGTAACTTTTCTAATACTGGACCAACTCCTTTTGAGTAGCAACTCTACAAATCACACATTATATCTAGTTGGTACTTGGGAAGGAATGTCAGTTGAAAAAATTAACTCCTTTAACATTTCTATTTTTAGATTTACTGCTTTTCACCTTAGAAATAAAAAAACGAGAAATTAAGAAAAATTATCCGGTTTATGAAATACCATAATTTTTTTTAATTTTCGTTTACTGCATTTACTAAATCATCAACAGTTTTCAATTTCAATTCCATACTATTAACTATAAGATGTTAGTATACCATAAAATAAAACAAAATACGAACGCTGTTTTTTTTTCTAAAAAAAAAATGTATTTACATTTGTAATTAACTAAGTGAATTTCCCAAAGTGCGATATTTGATACAATATTAATGTAAAACGACGGGGAAGTCACAGGTTTACAGGAATTATTACAATAGAAAGTTATTTAATCACTTTCATTGTTTAGAAAAAAAACTAAATATTCATCTATCTTGTAGTATATTTAAATAACTTTTTAAATTGGAATAATTTGATGAAAATGTTAAACTGTCGGTGTAAACTAACCAGTGTTGGATAATTGCGTTTAAAGTCATAACATTTCTTGACATATAATGCCTATTTCACTTCACCTATCCCATCGCTTAAGAAAATATCCAGATATCAGAAAAATGTACAATAGATGAGTTACTAAAAAATTGTACCGCATTGTAAAATAGCATTACTTTAAAAAAATGATCTAATAATGATTATAGTTTTATTTTAATAACAAATAATAATGATATAAAAAAAAAAAATCAGATAATTTATAATTTAAAATGTAATATAATTATTGTTGTACATGGTTTTTGTTTATAAGAAAAGTGGTGGACTTTATTTTTTTATACAAAATGTATTCTTTGATTAATTAAAAAATTTCCTTAAGATTTGTAAGATATTATTATTTCCACCCATCAAACTGTCAAACAAGTAGATATTCACTTAGCTTCATATCAGAATTATTTTTTGCATGTTTTTATGAACACACACATTAACTAATGGAAAGATTAAATATGATGCAATATTAATATGGTAATAATAAAATACAACAAAAAAAGGGTTTTAATTTAAAAAAAAAAATCGTTTTATTTTTAGTTACACATTTTTGTTGTGTATTTTATTATATAATTGTTTTTGATTGAATCGCACATATTTTTAATTAATTGGTATCACAAATAAATATCGTACAACTGATAATACATACAACACAAAAACGTTTTATGTTACTTAATATTTTTTATGTATAAATATTAAATAATAACACTCATTTGTTTTTTTTTTTAAGTAAACTTTTCACAAAAGACATCGAAAACAGTAACGAGCAAGAAAGAATTATAGATAGAAAAGGGAAAATAAATGTCTCTTCTATTGAGAATGTTCGAGTATCGTATAAATAATAATAATAATAATAATAAATATGGAAATCTAAATTAAATTGGCTTCAGAACGTTCTCGGTGAATTGTCCCATTATGTTACCCGGCGGATCATAGTTGGCCACGATAACGATTCTGCCGGATTTTCCTTGTGCCATGGCGATGCCCATTGACTTGGTGCTCTTCCAAACGAGTTGTGTAAAATGTCCTAATAAACAAAAAAAAATCATTAAAATCGCGTTAACATTGAGACAACAGCGGCAAAACTGTTTAAGAGGACATCATAACCTCTGTGTTTATTAAGGAGTTAGGTATAGGCAATTTTTTGCATAATCTTAATACAAAGCTACTTATAGTTTGGTGTGTAGTTATCAGTTAAGTTAGGTTAAGACTATTTGTTGATGGTTGAGTTATTTTTCATTCAGCATCGTCGACAGCCAATTAAAACGTTTTTTCATCGAAGCACACAAAAAGTTACAATTCAAAGTGATTTTACAGATAAATAATCTAAACTAAAAAAGATAGAGGATAGATAAAGATAAAGATAGTAGATAAGATTTCCGAATAAACTTCATATTATGCGATTTGCATTATCTATAAAGCATGGGTCAGTATGATGACTGCAAAAATACATTTTTTTAAACTTGTAACTTTTTTTTCTGACTGTTATTTTGAAAAAAAGCATATGGTGAAATTCTGTCCTCTAATTTTTTTGCATTAGAGGGGTTGTGTCTCTAAAATCACTTTAAAGGGTACTTTTATCTGTTTCGTGTAAACATTGTTTTACCATTTGAAAACATTTTTATATTTTATGTTATTTTACAATATTATAAAACGTCTAAATATTTACCTGTTTCGGTATTTTCCAGAGTTCTATCAACTTTTGAAACTCAATTGTTTAAAGTAAGAACAATTATATCTTGTAAACTATCGACCAGACAAACTTTTCAGATAATTATTTTTGACTTAAAAAATTCGTAGAACGTTACCGTTCGAGTTCAAAAGTTGATAGAGCTCTGAAGAATACTGAAAAAGCTAAATGTTCAGTAATTTTTATAGTGTTGTAAAATAACCAACCTAAGCAAAATTGTTGGAAACCTTGAGACAATGAGTGTCTTCCGTTAAACCCTTCGCCCTGTATACCTACCAGACTTTAATACTCTGGGTTCTCTGGTGTAATCGTAGTTCTTGCTCTCTTTGTACCAATTAACGATGGCGTCCTTGGCGGTCACTTGGTTCGACGACCACATGCTAAACAAATTTTCACCAAAAGGGTTGTCGGGCTGGTGCATAAACTTGTCGTCTTTGGCCAGCGTCTTGGCCCAAGTCAGTGCGTTCCGGCACAACTGAAATGAATCCAAATCAACGATCAATACACGTTTTGGTTAGTACAAAACAAAACGGTCAACTTGGCGTGAAAGATAATATAAAGTACTGCAGTGGACAGAAACCATAATAAAAGTGACTAAGAGAATTTTTTTTTTGTACAGTTTTATGACTTGAGGTTTGGAAATTAGACTGAAAACAGATGCAGAATAGGAATCTATAACTTATATGATTTATTACAAATCGTAATCAAAGACTAATATCGTTTACCGTGTTCTACTAACCATTTTGTTTAAAGTCAACGGGCCACAACCGTGTTTTGATCGGTAGTCATTGTGTAATTTTAAACTGTCTTTGTACAATTGCTCGTCCGTGTAAGCAGGCTGCAACACCTTTGGCACGTGTAGGGCGTTTTTGAAACCGCTAATCGCACGTTAAATGGAAAATAATTAATTTGGTTGTTTTTTTTATTAACCACATGCACTTTACCCCACTGGCGGAACGTTGTCTCTAAATTGTCCCAAGAAATTCCCGGCAGGATCATAACAAGCGACCACAAACACTTGACCGGAACGACTGGACGCCACGCCTATGCCGACCTCTTTGCTGCTCGCCCAGATCACTTGCGAAAAATGGCCTAAAATAATAAAAAAAATCGAAGCTTTTTTAAGCACATTTTATTCTAAATCAGTTTTTCCGATTCGAAATAAAGTATATTTAAGTACGTTAAAATAAAAAATGAGAATTTTTAAATTATAATATTTTTATTTTATTTTTAATCAGGTTTAGTTGTTTTATCTAAAAGGCAAAACATTTAACTAGTAACTTTGGAATTTTTAAATACAACTAATTGTTCATTAAAATAACTTTTTTTTAAAGCGTCTTGTCTATCTCTGTTAAAACACAACGTCTCAAACTGTAACGGACAATCTTAGTCTAGTCGGCAAGGCTCAAACTAAGGTTGATGTAGTAAAAACTTACAATTAGTATTAACTGGTACAACAAATAAACGAATAAAGTATTTAAAATACCCTAAACCACGTTTTTGTAAATTTAAATGGTTTATACAACTATAATTGCCAATTAGCTTTGCCAACGTTTCAGAAGCCTTTAATGGCCCATCTTTAGGAGTGTTATGTGTTGTTGACTCCGGTGCTACCTGTAGACTGAAGCCATCGTATCCGCGCTAATTATTTATATACACCCCCACTATTATTTTCTTCTGCTGCCGCCATATTGTTTGTCGTTCACGAGATAGAATTATTGGTGTACCGGTCGTTTTCGATTTGAAAATTTACCTGATTTAAGGGTGGTAGGTTCTCGGCCGAACGGGTGAAATTTGATTTCTTCGTACCAACTATCCACGGGCTCTCGACCGTCGATCCTATGGTTGGGCAACGATGTCCAACAGCAAAATAAATTTTCACCATAAGGCGACGATGGTCTATGATCCAAAATGCCTTTGATGCTCAAATACTTTGCCCATTCTTCGGCGTACTTGCACAGCTACAATACAAACATAATACAACACAAAGCGTCCGTTTAGTAACATTATAGTTAGTTGTACTGTTATAATTTAGTTGACCATGTTCAATATGAATGTTATGGATATGAGCCTTACATTTTGACTAATTTTCAAATAAATGTGTCTGTAATTACTGCTAAAAATCGCCAAAAAAACTTCCAAACCCAAACAAGAAAAATGAGAAATATTATTCAAACGCAATAATAGATGACTCATCTGCCACCTTCCCCCATTGTCATAATGCCGTTATGCAACCAGCTAAATCACCTACTTTTGAAGTCTAATATACTTTTTTTGTCGACAACCAACAACAATGGGCCTTCGACGGTGTTAAAATCATTTAGGAAACACTATGTATGGAAAAATGTTGACGAAAAAAAAATAAAACGACGTATAATAATAATATATTTATATATTTTATATTATAGTCGTGTCGGGCGCGATGAGGTGAAAACATTGCTGTTACGTTTATGTGGTTTTTTTATCCATCATAGAGAATCCCGAGCAATGTTGCGTTTTTTTTTTATATCAATTTTAATATCATTTAACTGAGTACAGGTCTTCTACTTCTGATCAACCCTAGCCTATCGGTCCGGAAGGATACACACGGCACCAGCTGCTGTCTCGATGGAAAAGCAGAAGGCCACGATAAAACTTGTACCAGAAGAGTAAATGCAATATTGTCCCGAAACGGTCAGGGTGAGGTGGAATTGAAAGCAGTTTGAATACAAAAGATAAACGTTGGCGAATGACCCACATTAAGAAGTTCATGAACCCTCGAATCGAGCCATTCAGGGTTGGGGTAAGCTGAGAAGATATTATTTTTACAATGATATTATCTTCCAAACTGCTGAACCGACTGCATCAAATAGCATAATACAAGTAGGATACTTAAGTTGGGCAAAAGATATTTAAAAAAATTACCCTTTCCTCTTTAAACGTCTTCTAAGTCTTCTACTAGTCAAATACAATTTCGAGCACATTTTTGCCTAATTCCGTCCGACACTATTTTCGTGTGCGCTTTATTTCTGTGCGTTCACAGTGGACTTGAGCTAATCTCTCCCCTATAAACGACTGGATTGTTATATGGCTTCTTTTGAAATCCACTCACTGGGCCCGAAAAACCGCAGTATAACATAGTAGAGAAACAAGCCAAAAACCGCATGATTTCTTTAGGTTTTTTTGCCACTCTGACAGCGTATTGTTGTCGAGGGAAAACTTGATTTTTTCGAGACGAAAAACGTGAGATTTCCTTTGCCCATTTTTTATATATTATGCTTATTTTTAGCACAATGGCACAGGCGGCTCGTGGACTGTTTTACTATAATATAATAGTAATAACATGCTTAACACCACATTATATTATTTGAACGCCGACCCGAAAACGAATAAGACCTATCCAGAATAACGGCCCCAGTAATAAAATATAATCCCCGTCGACCTAATGCAAATCACCGGCGTCATGGTTAGAAAATAATACAAAAAAAAAAGTTAACACAATATCTATAGACTGTGTATGGGTATAGAACAAAATAATTAATTAAATGCCTATAAACAAAAGTAAATAAACTTATGTAATAAACTGTAAAATTCAATATTGTACTAAAAAATGTAAATGTAAATGTAAACTAAAGGCTAATGACCTAGTAGTCGAAGCCATATTTTTATAAAAAAAAAAAAAAGTAAATAGAAAAAAAAACGTTTGACACTTGGAAAAAAATATTTTTCAGCAACTTTATCGTTCAAAGTTGTAGTAAATAGAACAGAAAGAAGTTTTTTTTTAAAGTGATATTGTATGCAACAAGCACACACAAATAAGTATCACCTATGATACACTTTAAAGGCATTGTCGAACGACTAAGTAAAAAGCACAATTGTGAATATTTAAGTTATCATTATTAAAATGTTATAAGAAGTATGATTACTCGTTATAGTTTGGAAATAAAATAATAAAAAATCTAATTTATTTTAATATGTTGCTAAATATTCGAACAGTAAGGTGGAAGTAAATCATTATTTAACAACTATTAATGCATGATGTATATAACGAGCGGTACTACATTTACTTAAGTCCCACTCAGACCTAACTAATTTGATGGTGAAGTAATGCAACGTTGTAGGGTTAAGATTTGCAAATTAATATTTTGATGTGTACTCACTTTTTTACTTATGGTCATCGGGGGGACCGAGTGTTTGTCTCTGTATTGGTTGTGCGCGTCCAGACATTCTTGGACGAATGTGTTTTCGTCATAGAGTATCTTTTTTTGAGGCTTCGTCAGTATAGCGTATTTCTGAAAACAAACAAAAAAAAACTATCATCAGACGCAATGCTATATTTTAGCTCATAAATCGGTTGTCAATTTTAGCGGTCCGAGTTCAAAAGTCTATTTGCACCCCCCTCTTAAACGACATCCTTAAAATTGAGTATCTCCAAAGAGAAAAACTACAAAATTGCAATTATGTCAACAGGAAACGAGTGTCTTGCATATTATGAAATCCGATCTACCTGTATATTACCGTACATTAAAGCCAAGACAAACTCGGGAGATGGTAAACTGCGCCAAAATTACCCTTTTTCTATAAGCTGATATGTTAACTACGGCATATAAATGTTAACACTATACAAACTGCGATAATTTAATTTACATACTTATATATATAATATGAAATTGAAAAATATTATTATTTAACTAACATTAAAAATTATTGTACATCTAATAGGCTCATAATGTCTAAGAAAATTAAAAATTGAAATAATAATACAATTATTGTTTACATTTACTTAATCTAATTTATTTAATATTTTGTTGTTTATTCTTAAAACCTATTATTTTCAAAAATTCGTAACTTGAAATCTGTTTATCTTCTTTTTTTGTCACTTTTCGTTAATAAATTTGTAGTTTTGCGTTGTTATTTTACTTCGTTGTTGTATTACACCTTCTTCTGCAACTCTAATTTTTATTTATGTGTCAACTTGAACATCCTGTATAGCATCTATATATTATGATTTCTGTACCTATACGAGTATATGTTGTCGTATCGGTATGTATTATTGTACATAAGTATAGTATATTATATAGTAGGTATAGGTATAAAATAAGATGTTCCAGTTTTGTAGAATGTATCTTATCATTTTTGTCGCAGTTTACATACAGCCACAAAATCTATCTATCTCCTCACTATTAGCGTGTGCCATTTTGTTTTTTTTCCCCATTTATAAGCTCTTAAAGTCTTCACCATAAATTGTTTTCCCCATTTCAATTACCCAACATATACTTTGTTGTAGAAAGTAATACAAAATTGCCGTTTGTCTTTGGAGAAAACTATATGCATAGACGCGTCTTATCCTTAACGAATTCCGGTGGGTTGCTGTTTTGGTCGTTGATCGTACAAAAGGTTGCCGACCCCTGCAACCCCTGACCGACCGAAATCATTGTCGGATATATTTTTTACTGTGTCCGTTAAGAAAACCGCAGCTCGGCCAAATCGGTTTGTCCTTGGGGGCCGTTCGAGGCAATCACAAAAGCGGTTCCGGCCGGTGGCATTGCGCAACCAAGTGTCTCTGTCCAACATGATATCATGTGTCTTGTAGCTCAATGGCATCGAAACGCACATGCTAAACAATATTGCTGTTATTATTATTATTTTGATTTTAATACAATAACACACGTCACTTTCGCACGGCTCGACACTTTCTGCGGTTACTGTACAACAACAGCTGATAGCCGCTGTCAATCCAGGCTATAATAATTGACACATTCCAGCAGTATGTATGTGTGCATCGTAACACACACTTGTATACAATTATCTTTATTATTATTATTATTGTTATTATTATTTACCGGCCAACAGAGTGAGGTGTAAACACAACGAGGCCGCGGAAAAGCGAGAGTGTTGTTGAGAGCTGAACGACGGTTTTCACACACATGCAGCATGCGTGCACCGTAGCTAATATAATAGCGGACATAATTCTTATATGGTAGCGCACTGCTGCAATTTCCACTGTCGTTTATTATAGGCGGGTGTAAACCGTGTAGAAAAATTAATAGAAATATTCAATTTCGAAACCGAAAAACCGAATCCCGTGCGCTGCAAAAATTATTATACGGTTATAATTTTGAAAATTACACAGTCTTACAAAGAAATTCTGGTGGCTTCTGTTCAAAGGCACAAATCAACAATGTCCAATGTTGTAGAATCCAGATGTGAAATTACCCCAGGAGTGTTGCTGCCAACGTTTACCCCGTGCACGTTGCAAAGACCAACATATTTTCTTTTTTCTCAGGAACTTGCTAAGGCAATTTTAAAGGCGGTTTTGGATAGTGTTGTGTCCTGTTTTTAGTATCCCAAGCCCCCCACCGCTAATGCGCCATTGTCGGATACAAACCTAAGTAGTAAATAATATATGTAAGTGCGTGAAACTTGCCTGTTGTTTGTAGGTGGAAGATTTCAGTTCGGGTGAAGACGTGGACGACCGCGAAGACCGGGACGACAACGACGACCGGAAATCGTCGGATGAACCGTCTAAGAAAAAAACAAAACAAAAAATCAACTAAAATTAAAAGTTATTTCACGAAACACAACGATGGCGGTGAAAAAAAATATCGACTCGTTTATTTTTTTTTTGGTCAACGTTTTTAAAGTGTTGTAGACACCGTGGCGCGTTCGACAGAGGTTATTATATTTTCTGGAACGAAAACGGGAAATCAACCGTTGCGTGAAAAGATCAAAAAAAAGTTATAATAATAATAACAATAACAATAACAACTACCCGTCTTTTCAATGTCATTACCGTGTGGGATAACGGATATTGTTATTACATCAACTATTTGGCAACAACCGCAGCAACGGTTAACACGATTATTTTTCAAACACGGCGCGTAAGTAGAAGAAAAAAAAATCAAGTACATTATTATCGTGCATAATGTTATTATAATATATATTCTGTAAGTATACACACCCAACTTGTTGTCGACGGTGTCTTCGACGTTTTTCGTTTCGGACGTTATCTTCCGTTCCGTTTTGTTACCTCGGAACGTCTGCACGGTTTCTTTGGTGAGCGTCTCGAATTTGGGTTGCTAAAAAAAAAAGGCAAATTATTTTTTTACTTATTTTAAGTAATTAACATATCGAAGAGTTCACCACTAGTCGATTCACTTCAAATATTCCCATCCCTTCCCTTTAATAGCACATTTTATGTGGGTTTCCTATGCACTTACACACTATTGACATTTATACTCTGCATGGAGTAAGACTACTCAATTATAAATTCAAAAAAATTATATTCTCGTACACCGTTTTGACGAATTTCTTAATTATTTATTTATTTCTTAGACAAAATGTCTTTCTCCTCGGGGAGAAGCATGTTAATATGATATTTAATGAATATAAAAAAATGTATTATGTTTCGTACCACTCCGCATCTTAACTGAACATTTTACACTGTTCAAATGCTTCTTCTTGTTGAAAAAAATAGTCGAGAAAACGAGTAAATAAATCGGGTAATCGAGTAAATTAATAAACAAATTGGTACATTAATCGATTAAAAAAGTAAAACAAATTGAATAAACCAGTTAACAAATTTAGTTATCGAGTAAATAAACGGAGTAAATGAGTGAAAAACCCGAACAAATGAGTAAATACATCAGATAAATGAGTGAACGAATCGAGTAATGGATTAAACAAGTAAATAAAATCAAGTAAATTAATCGAGTGAGTAAATAGGGCAAACCATTGAAAAATTGAGTAATCTAGTAAATAAATCAAGTAAATGAGTAAAAAAACGAGTACATTAATAGATTGAACGAGTTAACTAATAAATCAAATAAATCGAGTAAACGAGTTAAACAATAGAATAAACCAGTTAATCGATTGAGTTATCACGTAAATAAATAGAGTCAACGAGTACATACATCTGATAAATGAGTAAACAAATCAAGAAAATTAATCGAGTAAATAAATAGAACAACCATTGAAAAATTGAGTAATCTAGTAAATAAATCGAGTAAATGAGTATTAAAAAAACCGTGTACGTTAATAGACTGAACGAGTAAACTACTCAATCAAATAAATCGAGTAAACGAGTAATAAAATAGAATAAACCAATAAAAAAAATTAAGTTATCACGTAAATAAATGGAGTCAACGAGTAAATACATCTGATAAATGAGTGAACAAATCAAGAAAGTTAAACGATTAAACGAGTAAGCAAATAGAACAAACCATTGAAGAATCAAGTAATCGAGTAAATAAAGTCGAGTCGCTGGAAAATAAATCAGCTAATAAACATGTAAGAAAATCGAGTAAATAAACCGTTAAAAGCATCAAATAAAATCAATCAGTAAACCTTAAAACATTGTTTTAATGGGACACGTTTTGATCTCACTGAAAAGTGTTGTGTAATTTTCAAACCATATAAAACCATATTTTCAGCCATATAAAGCAACAACTATGTTAAAACTGACGACTTAAAATTAGGAAAAACGTTTATGTAACATAATATTTTGTACTTGTTATACTATTGTAATAATTGAATCGTCAGTAGATATACAGCTATCGTCGTATTTCCATTAATACCAAAAGAACGTTTGGTTTATGCGATTGGCAATACACATCTACCGAGCAAATGACTCGCATGTCAGAAGTATCATGTTGTACCTATTTTTATGTGCAATAAACACAATATGTGTTTCAGTTTTCTTTTGTTTTCTTCACAAAAAAAATGCGCATGTGTGTATAAATTATACAGAAACACATAAGCACACGCACAATAAAACGTAAAACGTAATATATGTTATTTTAATGTTTTCATTTGTGGAATGTAATAATTTCAAATTGCATTTAGACAAAAAAAAAATCAATTTATAACCGAGGAATGTTCCGTACACTTTTAACAGGAGCAGTAAAAGTATCAGAACTATTAAAGTATGAAGAAACGTGTCTTAAGTCACACTTGGAGTTAAGTATTATATTTATTTGGGCGCATTACACAACAACCGCACTGCACCTAAATTTTAAGCTTTAATAACTTTAAAAAGTAATTATTAAAAATGGTTATCGACCAATCGAAATGGTTAGCAAGTTATTCATCATATAAAATGGCAATTAAATAGATATGTTTTCATTCAAGTTTAAAAAGTTCATAGTTGAAAAGTAGATACCTAGGAAATTCTAAAAAAAGTGAAATACACTTTGTAAATTTATGATCTTGTATGAATTTTTTTTTCACTAGATTAATGCTCTAGAATTATCTTAACCGGATAAATTATCTTTATCTGTATCTAGACACATTTTTATGAAATTATCTTTATCTTATCTAGACAATTAGTATGTTTTATTTTACTTAAGCGGCTCGCCAAAAGGGTAAACTATAAAATTGCAAATATTTCAAGAGGAAACCGAGTACCGAGGTATCTTATGCTTGTTCAATTACCTACTGTGTATTGACTTTTAAATCAACTGTTATCAGCCCAACCGACTGATAGCAGCTGCTGCCGTTTGTCTATTAGCTCGCTGTCATAAAAGTAATCTTGACAAGTAATCTGTGCGCTGTATAATGGATACAGCGCAGGTCGGTCGTTATAGGTGTAACATTAATATTGCGTTGCTGGGAGGAGTGCACGGGCGCGATGTGCACGGGTAATCATGACCTACCTGACTTACTTATAATGGGTAGCTACATTTTCTTCTGCACAACAAACGTGCACGTGTAGATAAATAATAATAACGCACCTGTCCGGATTTCGTCGGTGCCACGTATATCCGGCGTTCCGTCTTCCTGGTCATGACTACCCGGCTGTGGCCTTGATTGAAGTCATGCCCGTGGGTGGAGTCCCGAAAAGACGACAGGTCTATGGAACTGCTCGGATACCTTTGTCTAGGCAGATACCGTAACCTGAAACAACAACGAACAAAACGACTATATTAAAATTTAAAAAAAAAATCAATTACACCGGCCACTTATCGGATTCACATTGTCTTCGCTATCGGTACAACTTGGCTACACGGTTAGGTCGATTTAACGTAAGTCATTGGTTTTCTCTTAGAATAATTGGAATGTTTTTAGGTTTTTTTTTTTTTTTGGAGACTATCTATTTCTTATTAACTCTGTAGATTAAGAATAATTTGCTGAAAATTTTCACTGGCCTATAATCAGTTTTGTTTTATTCGATTACTAGTTAAGAAATTTAACCACGCTTTATCGTATAAGTTTGAAATGTTGATAGAGCTATGGAAAATACTAAAAAAAAGGTAAATATTTAAAAATAAAAAATACTAAATAAATGAATTACGTCTTACGTTGAATTGATCAACCGGTATAATTATTGTCGGAATGGCGTTTTTGTTTCTTCTTTAAAACGATAATGATAATAATTAATGTGCTGGTATTAAAACAGTAACACGGCCGCTTGTCACGCATCACGATCACGACGTTCGCTTTGGTTAAGTTCGCACAAACAAATTGAATTATTTAAATTACATTTCTAAGTATAACATCAACGGCAACACGTCCGGATCGGTCTAAACGATTTCAGGTTTAATTCAATTGTTTGGGTAATGGAAATTCTTCGTTTGAATGCATCGAACGAATAGTAAACATCTAAATATCTATTGTTTTGGCAATATCGCAATACCGGAAAACATATTGTTACTGTTAATTATGACTTTGAAAACGATATCTTATTACATACATTGTAAATAATAACATGATATATTGTCCGTGATTTAGTTTGAAATTTGATGTAATAATATGTAAATCATTTTTTTTTATTTAAACCCGATACAGACTATTAAATAACGAACATAAAATATAATACACCTACTAGATATAATCGTGTCAAAGAATAATAATAAATAACACACATATTTTTATCTAGATTAAAAAAAACTATTCGAATAACGTCCAACATTAGTATATTGTTTCAACAAGTTTCCATTTTACTATTTTAATTATTTCAAACCGTGTGAAATACAACCTGTCGTTTGTGTCGCTGTTCATCCTTGACCAAGAGCTAACCATAATCAGATACCCGCAGTACCTATAATAATAATGTTATTATTATGTGCTTGGCATCCCTAACCCATATTTCCTATAAGTCCGCCGACAACGAAAAAGGCACGGTACAATCCCTAACTAGTTTTTTTATTTTTCAATGACTGATGACTTTATTAACATTCATAAACAATACAAAAGATCTGTTTACATTTCAATCTATTCGATACAGTATTGTCGGTTCTGTCAAGTAATCTTGAGTATAATACAGGGCTGACTGGTTGACTATGACTCAGTCGATATCGTAGAGCTTATTACACTTTTTTTTAAATTACACATTTTTTTATCATTTTATAGTTAATATAATGGGCCCAATTTCAATATATTTTCCAAAATGTATAACACCTTCTTTTATGTGTTAAGACCTTAAGAACTTAAGCTATTCGAACGGTAAAGTATATAATTATTTAATTAACTTACTATAGGTACATTTGTTTGTTATCTAATTTAATTGACGGTGTGTACGCATGTATAACAATTATTTTATAGGCTTTTCGTCGTAGAGCTGCGATAAGGTATTTAATATCCATAATTCTGTCAAGATAAATTATATTAATAGGTAAACCCGTCAAAGGATTACCGCCCATCGAGTGTGGTGTGTGGTTGACAATATTACAATGTTTTTTGTTACTGATAAAAATTCAAAACGATTACAAAATACTGTTACTCGAAGGATATTGTTTTTTACCATCAATAATTAAATCAACAATTAAAAAAAAAATCCTATAATCCAATACATATTAACACCACATTGGGCATTATTCGAATGTCGTGTTATCTTTTTACTTCAACTAGATATTTAATTGAATTGCTAATTTAAACATTGAATATGTTTTAATATGGAAAATACGACTGCTGGGACTTATTCAAATAATAACTCTTAAAAAAAATAATACAAATTTGAATTAATTCAATTATATTTCTATTCCATTTGGTCGTACATCAAAACTGGGCTCGTGAGACTAACGGTGATTGGTTAACAGTGTAATGTAGGTAAATCATTTTTTAAGAACTCTAGTGCGTTTTAAGCAGGGCCATCTTGGGCCACGTATGGGAGAGTTTAGAGACCAACTAATATGGTTAACCAAACCAAACCCTGTACTCTTTCAACGCAAACACTAATGGCAAACAAATGATGTTGTACCTACACCGACGGATTTACTGTTATCGAGTTACTATTCAGCATCATTACAATATTATTATAGGCTAACACATACTAATGTTCGTGTTCCGGTCTTGTTAATCGCAGAATTATTATGCCGTGTAAAAGCTGATGTTTTCTTCTGGAATTATTAAATATATATATATATATATATATATATATTGTACTCGTGACCACGATGGCTGCACAGTGCACACACCAGTAGTTGTCTATTCTGAGACAAGAATAGACCGTCTAGAAAGTCTCCGAAGCAAGTTGTTCTAATCATTTACAATAAACGCGTGTAGGTATAATAAATAATATTATGGTTCGTCCGCAAAGTGTATTATCCGGAAACGCGTAACGTGTCTATTTGGCTTTGCTGCGTTCTCTTCCGCTGTGCAGTGGCGGCGGTCGTACTCGATTAAAACGATTGTATTATTAAAAAATTACAAGTTCTAAGTGTACTGGCTCGGACTTGACCGCGGTGCATAGAAATGCACAAAGCATAACGTTTGGTTTTGTTTTTTTTGTTCATGCATTTAAGTTTCTCTTATTTACATAATAAAAAAAAAACCCATATGTACATTCTTGTTTTGTTTTTAATTTTCTCGGATTTTTTTTTAATCATCGTTTTGTGGTTTAAATTGTTGTATTATTTATTAAGAATACCGTTGCGATGTGATACTCGTATTTATGTGCAATCTGTAGAACAATACTTATAATAGATGTAACATTCACTAAAGGGCAGATTGACAGAGTGAAGAGGCATCGCAGTGAAGGAACGTTTTTTTTTCTATTGAATTAACAGGTCACGACACACCACCTTCTTAATCTTTTTTGAGGGTTGCCAGGAATGGTTGTCCAGAAATGACAGAAATGACGTCATAGCCCGCTTTGGATGTAACTTCGGTCTAAATTCCACCCCTTTTGGGGGTAAGGGTTTTTGATACCTTTTTGGTTCATCAACGTTTATCCAAACAATATTCCTAACAAATTTGGAACTAATGCGATTATTTAAAAAAATCAAAAAGTTATAATATAATAATAATTAATTTAGGAAAAAAGCAATACCGAGAAGTCTGTTGATCCGGACCCGGAGCAGATGAAGTCTTGCCTCTTTCCCTCCTTATATTTACATGTTTTTATGATGTAATAAATATTAGCATTGATTGATTTCCAACTATAATCTTTAGCTAAAACGAAATTCAACCGTTAGGCCCGGTACTTTTCCTTGCTTGATATTAATATTAGTTTTTATTAACTTACAAAAAAACACATGCTGATATTAATTATGTTGCGTACTGCGTTTTTAACTAGCCCGATTCGTTGATTTTTTTTTTATAATAAATAAATTAAATATCCATTAAATTATTATATTAACATTAACATTTATATCTAATAATTAAAATGACATCGTGAGTCCAGATATTTTAAATAAGAGAAAATCATATTTGTCAAATAAAAAAAAATCACAGTTTCCCTGTCAAATCGCACAAACTTTTAAATAATGTTCGTTTTTAATTGCCTTGTTTAGTAAAAGATAAACCATTAAAAATATAAGCCGACATTAACGGCATCAATATAATAATTATGATATTAGAAACACCTAGTTGTAAATGCATGCAGATTATACTTAAAAAATAAAAGCCCTTAAATTTAGTGTTGTTCCAAAAGGAAACCGTTTGATTTTTAAATTAACTCTTAAATACCAACTATATATTTTTTTAAATAAACAAATTAGTTGCTGAGATTCGATAAACGAAAAAATCAGTTAAAATAATATACTTAAGTATGAACGCTGCTGTTGTCATTAACTAGTTAATGAGTGTATAATTATTTTTTTCACTTTTGTACACAATGCTGTTTTATAGTAATGCACATTATATTTTGTAAGTTATTATTATTTGTTTAATATATTATATACAATACGATTTATAAGATAATTTCGTTTGTTTTTTTAAACGTTTGGACGATTTTACTTTTTTAATTGTCTGCAATTGTTAGAAGCCTACAAAATAAGTATATCATTAACGACTACTTATGTCTGATTGACTAATAATAATTAGAGTATGGTTATTATTTTGGATCTTGAATTTAAATGAAATTAAAACATTTTTGAAACCCCATTATGAGATTACAATACCAGTTGATTAGTTAACTACGGCCCAGTCGATATCTTAAAAGACATTAGACTTTCAAAGTTATTGTTTTTTATACTTTTTGAGTTTATAGTTCGGTTTAAACTTGTATATTGCACCCTGCCATATATTTTTTTTAATCTTCTTGACTTTTACAAAAAAATTCCGGCAGGTGACTTAAATTCAGGGACTCGAAATCAAAGCATTAAAACCAGAAAACAAAGCGCGCTTTATATTCTGATGATCTCAAGTGGCCGTGTATGCCGTTAAGAGGTGCAGCAGTACACAATTACTTTAATTTTTTTTACGGTCGGTAAAATCCGGGTTTAAAAAAAAATTTTAAAATAAAGATTGTTTGGGCGCAATTTACAATCATTGATCTAATTTCTGGCCGTGTGTTTACAAATGAAAAAAAGTAAAACTCTCAACCCCGCGTAAAGTCTGAAAAAAAAAAAATTGGACAATAGTCTTATGAAAAACTGGCCTAATGTATTTTTGAAGATGTCAAAATTAAGATCAAGAAGGACCAATAAACCAGAATTGACTCGTAAGTTACATAAGCAAAGCCATTCGTTAAGTATTAGACGCTGTTGAAAGTATAATATTAAAATTTTTATTATTTCTCAAGCGAGCATTTTGGTACAACTTTTTCAAATAATATAACAATTTGCCGGTTTTCAGGTTTAGATCAGATCTTCTGTTACACGATGACCGCCAAGTTCACATACTTGATTTTAAAACGTCATTGGTAATTAAGAGCGCTAATTATCGTGCATTTTTAATTTACCTACTGCTTTTTAATTGCAATAATGTTATATTACATAATAAAACAAGTCAACGTTTGAATGTCACAAATTATTTAGATACAATCATCAGATATGTGTAGCAAAGCGTAACTGAAACTTTTAAATGAATATTTTTACTTTCTTCTGTACTTCTTCTGCTATTATTGTCCACATATTTGTACAGAGTGATCAAAATAGCGAAAAACACTCGTTACAATGTTTTATTTTTGTTATTTTAAAGTATGTACATGTTTACAACTTAATTGGCAACGTAATATATATTTGATTAAATTATTTTTTTTAATAATGCTCTGGAAAATACTAAAGAAAGGCAGATATTTAGAAATTTTATGTTATTGTAAAACGACATAATCGAAAAAGTTTTCAAAAAGAAAAAACTACAATATTGCAAAATAACGAGTGTTTTATTATTTTCTTAATGAATCACCCTGTACCTATAGGCAATAAATTATATTATTAGTGACCAACAAAGGGGTGGGGTTGGCAATTGTGGGTTTTTTTTATTTATATGATTATTATTGAAAAAATCCGTAAATTTTTGACCATCCAAACGATTGCACTAGGTCGTTTCGCGAGTGTCGTTGACCATAGGGTGTGTTAGGAAATAGGAACAATATAAATAATATTGCTATGATATTATGAAAATATAATGTTGTATGTTACCTGTCGATTCGGGCCTTGGACGGATCTTCTACGACCATGGTGTCGGTGTTCCGGAAAACGATTATTATTATTATTATTATAACCAACGTTTAAGCGAGCAAATATGTAAAAAATAAGACAACTATTATTGTAATAATAATTGTATTTATTGTATTATTATGTCACTGGAGGGTTTCGCCTATTTCACAAGTACCCGACTGAGGAGGTGTCTTTGGCGATCATCGCACTGCAATAGGTGTATACTAGTGTTTATTATTTTTTTAAATACTATTATACAGCAGATGCGATATTAACGTGTCCCCTGTAGCTGTAGTGCGATAAACGATTGTATATTTTTATCTAATGGCGAGTCCCGTATCGAATCGTCCCGGAGATGATGGCGAAAAAACGGCCGCAAAACCTGCAACGGACTTGGACGGACCGCATTTCGACCGAACGACTATGATGCGATTACTGACGGCCAGACCAGCGCGGGTTAGGCACCGTACCTGCCGCCGTCGCCGCCGCCACCGCCGACCGTCACGCACCTGTGCGCATGCTCTTCGGTGAGACAATATAATATAAAAAAATGTTTTTACTTTTTTTTTATAGCTAAAATCTCTCATTTCTTTTATAATATCTGAGACTACAACCCAATACTCGAGACTACTAGATCATTACAGTAAAAAATTGTACCTAATGACAGCGATGTGCTTAAAAATGTATTTTTTTAGTTCTATTAGGTCGGATACGATTAGGGTTGACCGTCCGTCTATAATCATATCATATTTTATTGCCGTAGTTTACTATATACAATATATATATATATATATATATATATATTGTAGTTAACTATATTATAATGAAAATACTTTAAATACCTGTTGACTGTTGTTTCACTCACACGTAGCGACCATAGAAATTCACTACTGTCCAAGTGTAATTTTTCCCTTAGTAAAAAAATAATTGTAAATGTGATAGGTACATTCTAAATTTACCTTCAATCTAATTTGCCGGCCTTAAACCCTAAAACTTCAGCTAAAAAAGGCACAATAAAGAAAAAATGTCCATCCCTTCCAGAGGAAAGGGCTTAAGATTTTTTTTCTTAGTTAAAATCTTTAGTTGATAGTAGGTTGTAGTTTTGAAAAATGTATCAAAATCAGCCGAACTATTAACTATAATAGGGAAAAAAAATTATTTTAAAAAGTCCAACATCTTTAAAGATATCGACTGGCTGGTATTGCAACCTCTTATTGTTTTTAAAACAATAAACGCGCGTTTTCCCCGGCCTTTGTTTTTTTTTTGAATTTGTATACTAATAGTTACTTAAAGATTTTTATCTTGCAACTGTTATACATCCGCCCAAATATAAACAATTGTCTTTTAACGCTAAGTCAGTCAGACTTAAGTAGTAGATAATGATACACCGATTTTGTAGCCTTCTAATAATTGCAGTCAATTAAAAAAATTAAATCGTCCAAACGTTTAAAACGCAAGTGAAATTACCTTGTAAATCGTATTGCGTTAACACTAAAACATGTGCATGATACCAAAAACATATATATTAGGTATATTAAAAAAAAAAAATAATATTAACTTACAAAATGTGATGTGCGTTATTATAAAACAGCGTTGTGTACAAAAATGAAAAAAATACACTCATTAACCAGTCAATGACAACAGCAGCGTTCATATTTATAATTTATATATATTATTTAAAAAGATATTTGTTTATCGAATATCAACAAAAAAATTTGTATATGTATGTTTTGGTTAGTATTAATGTGTTGAATATAAAATCAAACTATTTCGAGACATTCTAAAGTAAAATATCATAAACATACCTATACCTATACGGTTCCTAATGGAACAACAGACACTTCAAAGGGCTTTTCGTTTGTATTTTAAATTGTAATTTACAAGCAACTACAACTAGAAATTTCTAATATCATAAATCATAATTCATAATTATTACTGGCGTCCTTGAAGCCGGTTTGATCGTATGATATTTTTAACGAGATATAGTTCTTACAAAACAAGGCAATTAAAAACAAACGGTGCTTCCAAGTTGGTGATCTGACCGGGAAATTTGTTTTATTCGAAAAATATGATTTTCTCTTATTTTATACCCGGACCCGAGACTACATAATAACTATTAGATATAAATCCAAATGTTAATATAATATAATCACCGTTAATTGTAGTAATTGATCAACAAAAGCAATAACCTGGAATAGTTATAATAACGCAGTGCACAACATAATATATTAATACAAGTATTTGTGAAAATCAATCACAGCTAATGGTTAGGACTCACTAAATTTTAGTTTAATAAAGTACTCATTTAGAGAGGACTTCCAAAGTGTCAATATTCAATTTTGCTTGAAAAAAATATATATGAAGACGTGTTCAGCAAAAACGGTGTTTGTTGCAAGTGTAAATACAACTCTGACAAAAAAAGCAACTAAAAATAAATCCGATAAAGCTGTTATCTTATCTTGGCTGCGCTATTAGCTAAACCCACAGCCTTATCGTCGGCGACTATACTTTGATTGTGGTTGACGAGAAGCTCATTAAGTTTACAGCATTAAAAATATATTATATAACACAGGATAGAGTAGAAGAATATTGAGAAAAAAATGACTCGACGATAAATAAAATCCAATTGTTATTAAAACAAGTATAGTATAATAATTAATGTATGTTATGTATATCTGTGACTTGGGTCTAAACAAGGTCAATCTCACATTTTGGCAAAAATCTAGGTATAAGACCTAACATAATATTATACATTTTGATTATTATTCAAAATGTAACAGAGATTGTGGGATTTTAATTATTGTAATTAAGTATAATATTGACCATCTTTTTGCTCCCAAATAATACTATTTAACTTGAATTAATTTTTTATCTTGATTACACATTAAAAATATAATACACTGTAATAACATATTTTTCGAAAGTTCCATTACTACACCCGAATGAATGGTCCAATGGTGATATTATTCAACTTTAAAATGTAATGTAATTACAAATGCTGAAGAAAAAAACATGCGGTTTTGAGTGGACGAAAAATAAAAATAACAATGAAAAGTTAATACCAACCGATGCGGTGTTAACAGACTTAATATTGGTTTTAAGATAATAATTATATAAACATATTTAAAATGTATAAAAGAAAAATTGAATCGCGTCACACGACCAAACTAACCACATCAACTTGCCGGCCGTCTTGAATTTACTCTCTTCTGCTGACAACTGACAAGTCTTACTGGTTTTTAGTGTTATGCAAACATTTAGAATAGAAAAATCACAAACAATACAAAATATAATTTCAATTTTTTGAGACATGTTAGTTTATGTTATTACTTATTATACAATATTAGACATTATTGAACATTTTTTTACCAAATGTGTTTTAATTAAGAATAATTTGCTGAAAATCTTGACCGGTCGTTAACCAGTTTTGAATAATTACTTTTAAAGTTATTTAAATTTAAGACGGGTAGAAGGATGGAGTGCAGTATTTTTATCACAAATTTTAAACTTTAATTGCTTCTAAAAAAATTATCAAAAATCGGTTGTCGATCAGTCATAGTTTTGAGTAAATTACTACTAAAATGTAAAAGTTAACCAGAATATATATGTTAAAGTTAATCGGAATCATCATGTACTGTTATGTTCTTGTCTACCTCTTTCCATTAATTTCTTAGTTTTCGGTGAGACGGCATTACAAAACCATAGCCTACCAAACCGTTGGAGTCCACGTTGTAGAAAAGGAAATAAACAAATTTAATGAGTAGATTAATAATTGACTTACCGCCCACTTACAGCAATCGTACGCGTCCTGTACCGGAACAGTTCAACAATATGTGTGTCGAACCGACTTAACCAGAGTGCACAGCCGCTGTGGTCAGTGGCACAGTGGAACTTAATAAATTTTGTAAATTGGATCTAATTGTTTATAACTAGCACGTAGTACGGTAATCCTTGAACATTAAAACGAATGCGCCATACACCGACGGCTTAATTAATGCGCTTCGTTTGTTCTCTTCAAGATGCACCGGAAATTATTTATTTATTAGGTACGATGTTCGTCAACCAACATGACATGACGTGCAAATTAGACGTTATTCTTATTGAAACCCTAACCGAATAATTATTCAAATAACCTCTGTAATGAATAAACTCTTATTCGCTTACTTTTTAAAAGAAATTTTTATTAATACTCTGCTCGGTTTGCACATTTTTAAACCATGGCAAGCGCAGGGTACTGTGCCCAGGTAGAAATTGTAAAGGAAAAAATCTTTCACCCTATTAACACAGCAAGTATTGGACGCCAATATAGTAATAATATAGCAAATCTAATCATTATACTCAATAATAATATGATACATAAGTCGGAGATTGCATTATTATTCTACACATCTCTGTACTCGTACTGTGTAGAACCTATTACTGTTCTTATATTTTATAAATACACTTGAAAATCTATAATCTATTCGTCGACGGTCCACTTCGAAACTCCATGTCGAATCGCATAGGAAAGCGTACATACAGGGTGATACAGGATTCATTAAGGATAAGATACAGCCGTTTTCTTTTGAAACATTTGCAATTTAGTAGTTTTTCTTTTAACAATAATCGTATATATAATAATACTTTAATACTACTAAATATTTACTTTTATTAGTATTTTCCAGAGCTCCGACGAATTGTTGTAGCCATTAAATGCTAATATGTTGGCTGGCCGAAAATCTAAATTTTAAACTTTAAATCAGTTATCCAAAGCTGGTTATCGGCCTGGCAACTTTTTCGGTCAATTGTTCTTAATTGCAGAAAAAAATACATAAAAAAGATATTTGAATATTGTAAACTAAAGTGTGTCAAAAACGAAAAACTACAAAATTCCAATATTTTTTAAATAGAAAATGAGTGTATCCTCCTTAATGAATCACCCTGTATAGGTATACCTATTCTTATGATATTATATTACCTATATATATATAATGGTCAACACCGTGTTCCTTCCAAAGAGACAATAATTATAATGCCTACCTACTACCTGTTGCTAATAATTGACCAACGGAGATTTGATTTGGACAACAACTGCGTTAACTCTTTTCAGACGACATAAAATAAGACCATTCTGCGAGTGGAACGCACATAATGCGGTTTGATAATAGTGTCCAATATATAGTGGGTATATGTAGGTATATAATAAGTATAGTATTGTGTTCTATAGCAATTACTGCAGTCGCCGAACGTGCAATAAAGTCTTGCACGAAGGCGCCGCTACTGTCGACCAACACGCATGTACCCATCATACCTATTAAGCCATTGATTATTGGCGAATGTTGGCTATTTAATTTAAAAAATAAAAACATTTAGTTTTACAGGGAACACCATTTCTAAAGTTTAGTGTTTTTAAATTTGCAAACTAACTATCCACCGATTTGTATATAGTTGCAACGTTGTTGAGTT